GTATCAGTGTGATGTGGTAGATTATCGTCTGGTCCATGGTATCATTGTGATGTGGTAGATCGTCGTCTGGTTCGTTGGTATCAGTATGATGTAGTAGATCATCATCTGGTCCATGGTATCAGTGTGATGTGGTAAATCATCGTCTGGTCCATTGGTATCAATGTGATGTGGTAGATCATCGTCTGGTCCATTGGTATCAGTGTGATGTGGTAGATTATCGTCTGGTCCATGGTATCAGTGTGATGTGGTAGATCATCGTATGGTCCATTGGTATCATTGTGATGTGGTAGATCATCGTCTGGTGCATTGGTATCACTGTGATGTGGTAGATCATCGTCTGGTCCACTGGTATCAATGTGATGTGGTAGATCATCGTCTGGTACATTGGTATCAGTGTGATGTGGTAGATCGTCCTTTCTTTCATTTTTTCTAATGAGGTGTGTTATCAAATTGGCTTACGAAGTCTCATCTGTTGTACTGGGCCAGCTGAAATCTAAACATGAACATGCTAATATTTAATTTAGGTCAAAAGTCGACGCCGATTGCAAAAATATGGCTGGAATGCGGGTTTCGAAACAAATGATTCTATTTTTAAATTAACATTTCAATACTGTAACAGTGGAAATTCCCTTGCTGGGTAATACGATGAGGTACAAATGTATTTTAAAAGTTTTCCCAAACATATTCCCTCCCAAAATTAAATATAAAGTTTTTGTAATTTGTTGATAATTTGACATCAAAATACACATAACAGTACACATAACGATGAAAATAACCTTATTGACTATTTTTTTTTATATTTCTTAGTTCGTCGACGATGTCGAATGCGGATGCGAGGGAGTACCTTGTAGATTACATTTGCAAACAGAGTTGTTACGGTAATTCAGCTGCTCGGGACATGAACATGAATAATATTACGTCTTCGCATGGTTTGCATGTAAGTAAATACGTATCATGATATATTAACTGGATTTTTACAGTTCGTGAATTACGTTATATATGTATATATTGTTTATGACAATCAGAAAATTGATACGGTATGTGTACGCGTGTTATGTAATGCGTTGTTTTATTATCTTAGTACACAGTGGAAACGTTTACTGAGTCCCGGTCCACGGAAAGAACTCACGAGCCTTTTCACGGTAAGCATGGCAGCGGGCACGTGACTGATATCGTGCAGATGTAAATGAAGGAAAAGCTGTGATAAAAGAAAATGGCGTTCACTGGACTACAAAAGGTGTATTCATTACGTATCCCTGGACATTGGTGAACATCAGACGTTGCTATGCGCGTATAATCGGGAGATTGATTTACTGATGGTTGTAAGTAATTAAAAAACAAATAACAATCGCTAAATAATATATTCCCATATCCTGGCAGGTGATGAAGTCGATGGTCCATCAAACGGGGCGCCCCCAACTACGTGGGATATCGAGGTGACGCCGGAGCAGGAGTTCGTGGACAAAACGAGAATATTAAAAGTTCCACACACAGACGAAATAAAGACGTGTCACCATTGCAATGGAGTTGGTATCTTAACATGCGATGAGTGCGATGCACTGGGAACGGTGAGTGTATGTCTATCTGTGCCCATAACGTCAACAAGCCAGGAATGTATGACACGAATTCTATGCATGGGTATATATTACTCAATGGGGTTGAGAAAAATGTTAGTTGCAATTATTCTAGAGTTCATTCGTTCACTACCACAACAAATACATGTGTGGAGTTTAAATTTGACCCCTAGAATAACCAATAAGTACAGTGTCCAATTATCCGATTGTTTATATACTCGTATATTTAATTCCAACTTTCTCCCTTTTTGATTCATAAGAAAATGAGCTAACTTTACATAGTCCCGGACTTAGCGCTCTTTGACGTGATATTCTCTGCAATCTGACTGGGATATATGCATGTGTGCCACACCGTCTCAATCTGTGAAATGAAACTGAATCTGACGTGTATAAACATCGGTATATATTTCAAAAGGAACGTATATTTTGTACAAATTCGAAATTGTCACGAATTTAACTAGAGTGTTGCAGTACTCGACATTTATCGGTGATTTATAAAAATGTACACAGTGGTGGTCTATCATATACGTACTAATCTACGCATGTGTTTGTTTCCATAGAAACGTTGCTCATGGTGCGTTGGTAACGGCGTAACATTTACAAAAAAGGGCAAGTCCAAGAAGTGTAAGCATTGCGTTGGAGCAGGCCGACTCAAGTGAGTGTCCGAAAGGATGGGTGCGGTTTGAAACAACGATTCAAATTAAATTCGTACAAGTAAACTCTGTTTTCGTCTGTATTTTACAGATGTGTTAAATGCAATGGTTCTGGACACTGTAAATGTTCCATCTGTCTGAATTACAAACAACTGAGATGGTTCATATCACTTACTGTCAAATTGTGAGTATTGATACAATCATTATTATTCAAGAAACATGACGACTTCCGGCAAACAACACAAAATACTAAATTACTTTCTTTCAGGGAACGAATATAACGGTGAAACATGTTCACTTATCGTTCTAGAAAAATAAATTGGTCCGATTCGCTAGAAATATATTTTTAAGTTATATACAGCTGTATATAATTTGGTCAAGGATAATATACTAGTACGTTATTATGCAATGAGTTTGTGAATGTGTTGGATGTACATTGTATGGCACAAATCACGTTAGAATGCCGCTCAGCGACATGTTTCAGTTATTTTAAGTAATGGATTCCAAACAATAGCAAATAAACAAATATGCCTATCTTTTGTTTTATTTATTATGCATATAATTTCAGCCTTCGCAGTTACAACATATACTATAATGTGTACAATAGTTTTAAACGGTTGACCATCACAATACTACATTATCACACATTTCGTGCATAAATGAAATAAACATGGACAAAATAATTCCATTTTGAAAAAAACAAAGTGTTATTGTCAAGAATAGCAAATGTAGTACTAGTATTTCAAAAATGAAGCATAATAAGCTGTGGTGCAGTGTATTTACATAAACAACTGTTGCTCAGGGTTACTCATTTGTTTACTTTTCCGTGTATATCGTTGCAGTGTAAATCACGTGGACGATGACGTAATCCAACATTTGACAAACTTACCAATAGAATTCTTTCGTAGTGCATCGGGCGATAGAGTACTCCAGGAAGAAAGTCTGTCGGTCAGTATATACAATATTTGGTTTGAGACTGCAGTTTAAAACGAAAATAGAGAATATTTGACTTTGACGTTGAACAGGTTTTGTTTTCTTTCGTTTGATATTTGTTTAAGATGTTTGATTTCCAAATGGCCGCCGAGATCTCGTTGTTAGTGAGAAAGCCACGAGATTTGTATCTGTGTGGTGATATTTCGAGCAGTTTTCGCGATGACGTGAGTAAATGGAGCACTATTTGAGGGGGAAAAGCAAGTCTCGTGGCGCAGCCACACTTGCATCTACAATCTATTCCGTTCAATGACGATGTGAGTCTGAATTTCGCCACACATTAGACACATTTGGGAAGTTGGGTTAGTAAGTAACATGCGTGAGAAAAATCTGGTTTATTTCTGCATCCAACCCTGGTAAATGTCATTGGTAATTTTTCATGCTGAATATCATATTTTCGGCAAAAAATTGTCGAATATATTTTTACTCTGATTCTCTCGTTACAGCTGACGCCTCTCGCTATAGTTAATGACGAAAAACTGAACGAATGCTCCAGACGACTCATAGAAAAACACAGAATGGCGTTTGAAGCTGAAAGAGTGTTATTACAGGTGGGTTTGAATCTAAAAAATAATTCATTTTGAATTTGCTTTCCAATAAAAGATTGGTTGCAACACTTGAATTAAAGTTTGTGTTCGACCAGTATGTAACAATCACTAGTTCAATTATTACAATAATTTTATAAACAGTTCTACTTTTTTCAGGTAAATTGTTTACCATAATTTGAATTCACCATAACATATCAGTTTTCACTTGCAAACTGGTAATTGTTTTCTGATTTTTCACTAGAGACACACACTCCGTGCTATCCCATTGTCTGAAATTCACTGGACTTGGAAAAACAAGGCGAACAGGTTCTGGATCTATGGTTACGAAAATAGAATTTACTGTCCCAAGTATCCGCAGAGTCGTTGCTGGGGGTGCACCGTACTCTGAATACTGGCGTTCAGGCGCATACCACCAACTACGAGGGCGGGCTACTTAAAGGAGAAAATATACTTAAGGATGTCGTTTTCAGTGGAAAATATAAAAAAAATCCAAAGAGTACACAGTACAGACACTGTGGATTATTTCTGGTTATTCACACACGTCTTTAACCCCAGACAACTAGTACAAGTTGTCTGAGCTTTAACAGACCGTCTGACAGGTCGTCTCGTCACGCATGCGCTTAGTATTAATAAACATCCAATCCAATGCGGTCTTTCAATGGTAAGCACGAACGTCACGGTGAATTTTGTTATGTGAACTAAATACTTGACTCATGGAAATATTTATCGATGTGTTCGAATCACCTAATTAGCCACAGACAACTAGTAGTAAATGATAATCTCCAGTTCATCTGTCACCTTATACCACCATACCGCGTGCCCATTCATACACATATTACTAGTATTATCACAAACATGGCATATTTTCACGCAACACTAAAAGTGCATTCGACATTAAAACAATTTCACAATCATGATTGGTAAATTTGATCATTAGCTTTTATGGCTTTTATTTATATTGGTCAAGCCGTATCCAATCTGACCTTTCCAATCGAGGTAAATGATGACATTTACTTACTTGCTTGTCGCTGCCGCAAAGTATGCTATATCTTGCCACGATGAAAGTGATAGCCGGAATGTAGGTCAACGAACTTTAGTTGACAGAAATGTCACACGTTCAACTCCGTTACTTATACTGAGTCATATGTTTCTTAGTTTTCTATATATTGTAATTTATAACTAGCGTTTTATTGTTGTCAACCAATGGAAACTATTTTTAAT